TATCACTGATGTCCTTAATAATACAAAATCCATAATATCTATCTGATCAACAGGAAAAATTAAATTAATGAAATAGAATTGTATCTTCTTTTTTTTTACGTTGAATTATTAAATATATTTTACACGTTTCTTTAATAAGACAAAACCCACAATATCTAGCAGATGAACTACAAATAATTAAATTAATGAAATATAATCTATTTTATTTTGATAATTTAACACTGAATTATTAATTTTATTATTATATTTGTATTAGATTTCTTTAGCAAGACAAAACCCACAATATCTAGCAGATGAACTACAAATAATTAAATTAATGAAATATAATTATTATATTTTGATAATTTTATTTCGAAATTGTATTATATTACTTTGTATTAGATTTCTTTAGCAAGACAAAACCCACAATATCTAGCAGATTAACTACAAAATGTATAGTTTTGTTATTTTTATTTAACATTGAAATATGAATGATATTATATTACTGTGCATTATATTATAGGTGTCTTTAAGCACCCACAATATCTAGCAGATTAACTACAAAAAAATTAATTAAATACAATTTTATTTAGTTCATTTAAAACTGAATTATTAATTATATCATAATATTAAAGATATCTTTAAAAAGACAAAATCCTCAATATCTAGCTGATGTACTACAAAAAAATTAATAAGCAACCTAAATTGCACACAGACACCTTTATGGGATTTCTCATTCATGCACCCCTCAAGCGTCTCAAAAAAAGATAAATAAGTGAACTGTTGTCAGAATGAGCTGCAGTGAGTACCGCTGTATTTCTTTGTTCTTCCAGCAGGTTGCAGCTTGAGCCTTTGGTACTCTCTCCATGAACGTCACCAACTCCTCCATCAGCAGCCTGAAGCAGACACAACATCACACCAACCGGTGAGGGGCTTCACTGCAAGCTGAACTAAACTGAACATTATATCAAGTGAGGAATTCAATGTCAGCTAATGTGAGATCATTCAAGTTCAAAAGAACAGCCTTTATATGAACTAGAAATCCTTTGTAACATTATAAATGTCACTTCTAATAAACTGAATGCATCTTTGCTGAATAAAAGTATGAATTTCTTTCAAAGCGGTAATGAGTTGGAGAAGCGCACCTGCCGATCTGTAGGGTGGGTTCAGTGGCATATACGGTCCCGGTGAAGCCTGTGTGTTCGGTGATATACGGCAGAGCCATCATGCAGTGATAGTTTGAGATCAGGATCACGTCTATGGTGGAGAGGTCCAGCAGCTCTTTCTGGAAAAGTCCAGTCATTTCTTAAACAAAACACTTTCTGCTGCACAGACGGGACAGAAGGAGGGAGAGGTTTATTTATGTAAAGAGCTAATATTTACTTCAGGGAGGCAAAACTCGGGCTGAGAGTCCACAAACACACGTCCTGAGCATTCCTTCAACTCCTAAAACACACACACAGCATATTTAAATCATTATGGAAACATATTTGAATTCGTTCATATTTTTAAATAGAGCGCTGTGATTATTTCGGTGTCAAACAAGTACTCACTTTTTCCAGGTTTATGGCTCCATCTTTGGAAACCCATCCTGGGAGTTTGGATAATCTCGGACTGTAAAGCAGCAGAACAAAGTGATTTTTTATCAGAATTTAACAGAAAAAAGTAGCTTTAACTAACATGTTCATAAGATATCTAATTGTTTTAGTCTACTGCATGGGACTCTTTGTCGCTTAATTACTTAAAACCTAGTAGATATTTACATAATATAAGATATAATGTATGTTATATATATATAGAGAGAGAGAGAGAGAGAGAATATAAGAAACATATATCTAATACATGTCTAAGACATGTAAAATCATCATATCATATAATATGAAAATTAGGATGGTTATGTTATTTTCATTTGTAATAATTGTTCAGTAAAAAGTAGTAAAAATAAAATATTAAGTGTATCTAATCCTAATGGTATCCTAAATGGTAATGCATGTAAAACCTAGTCAAAATAATATTTAATCATTTTATTTAAATACGCTAATATAACAGTTTAACGTAGTAAACAATTACTTTACTGATCCTCTAAAATCAAACTGAAGTGTTGCAGTAATGAACATAAAACAAGGGTAAAGAAATAAAAAACCTAAATACAATACAGTAAAGTATCCGATTACAAAATGCATGCAGAAAAACACTACAACACCTTACAGAGCATAGGCAAAAACAATAAATATGTCGTGTATATTTAGGACTATTGGAAATACGAAGAGATATGCACATGTGCTTGAATCCAAATGCCATTTCATATCAGCACATCAAAGTGTGTGTATATAGATCGCGAGTGATCCGGGTTCTAGCGCGGATGTGTTGATGTATGATTCTGACCTGTGCACCAGAGGCAGCGGCAGGAAATACAGAGCTGCTGTTGTGTCCAGCCCACAGTCCAGCATGATGGTGGTGGATTTAAACTTGAGCACATTACAGGGCAGAGTGGGATGACCTGACAGACAGTACTGAACACACACACACAGAGAGAGATCATCATTTACTGCAGGAGACTCGATATTACTGTCACTGCAGCTGATTTAACTCAAAACAAAGCTTATCGTATTTACGCAAAACACAGAACACGCTAATATACGCACCAGTTTCATGTTTGCTCTTCAGAAACTGAACTGATTTGCTAGCTTTCTTGTTTTCTGTGATGCTACAACTCGTGAAACATTCGCAACTGACGCCTTTTCTTCTTCTTCTTCTGATGTTTTTTGGCAGTTTTTGCAAACCAACTTAAAGGTGCATTACCGCCACCTACTGATCTGGAGTGTGGAGTGAACAGATTTGGTAGAGAGAAGGATATATATATATATAAATTATAATATTAAAATAATTATTTATAATAATATTAAAAAAAGGCATTTGTCTATTCCCTAGTAATATCTTGAGTGATAATTTATCATATCCCATCAAACCTAATTTATGATTAAGTTGATTTTTTTCTCTTTCATACGCATCACATTCTAGAAGAATGTGCTTTACTGTTTCTGGATTCCCACATTTGTCTTTTCTTCTACTGTGTGTCTGTGCGTGTCATTCAGCTCCTGACAGACGCGCATTTGCCCACTAGCGGTCGGGCGTGGCACTGCATTACGACTGTGCGGAAAACAGAGGATTTATTTATTTCGAAAATATATGATTTATTTGAGAAAATAAAGAGAGTTTCTGGCTTTGCAAGATAAATAGATAAATAAAATAAAGAATATTACGGCAATGGTAGGCACTACAAGTCCAAAAAAAAAAACATGTTAAAAACCCGCTATTACCATTCATATATATTTAT